GAGGGGGTAGGGAGGGGTAGTAACAGGGCACAAAGGGGGGTGGGGGAGGACAGAAAAGTGACACCTTAAGATTGTGAATGGGGAACTATAAGTTATAACTGACTCTAAGTAGAAGACTCGGTCCATAAGTTGGGCAGCGTAGTGAAATCAGGCGCTCGTCATAATAATGAAAGTTAAAAAACCGGAATTTCCCCCTAGGTTCGGTAATTTTCCTCGAATTTTTGGGGGGTTTTCGCTCAACGCCTTCCAAGTCCGTCAAAGAACACATTTCTGTGTGGATTGTATTGAAAAACGTCGAACAAAGGCATACGATGTACTTTTTCGGTTTCCTCGGACTCTCAAGCTAAGGTCATGACTAAACCTTGGCGGCTATTTTCTCGCTAATTATACCCCTGGGACCAGGCGACTCCTTAAATCGCAAATATCTCGACTAGTATTCTAGATAAATGGATCTTTTTTTCACCAAAAGCAAGACAAATGAAAAAGCTTTAAGATGATACCAGTACCTTCACAAGCCCAAAAATTGACGAGCGCCTGATTCCAACACATAATATAGGTGTCATCACCCTGTTTAATCGGGTGCTCGTCAATAATTGTCGGGCGTGTAGAGTATTATTATCGTCCTCTTAAAGCTTGTACATTTCTCGTGCTGTTGGTGAAAGAAATACATTTATCTAACTTGAATAGAAATCTAAGGAACTGCGAGTGAAAGAGGAGGGGGATGCCTTGTTTAAGAGGTCCAGTTAGCGAGAAAATGACCGCCAAATTTGAGTGACTCCCAAATATTGATTTGGGAATTGTGTTTGAAATGGACATGAATGGTGTTGAGCCGCTAAAAAAAAACCAAAAGAAATTTATGAAAACTGCCCAACTGGAGAAAAAATGTCAATTTCTTCGATTTCAATATTCATTGACGACCACCGGATTTCACCAGCGTGCCAGTCTAACATTAATTGTTGATACTATTTTAACGAGTGATTATATTACGTAAGACATGTCCGCAAAATCCAATATGGTCGCCGTATTCATGAAAATGAAACATTTTTCTTAAATTTGATTGCGGATTTTAAGACTCCTTACTATGCCTGTTACATGTACATGTGTGAAATTTGGTAATATTTGATCCTCTAATAAGCGAGATATCTTTCAGCTG